TCAGTTTCTATGACCACTAAGTAACTATGAGCAGTACGTAACTCTGAACAGTAAGTATCTATGATCAGTAATTATCTTTGATCAGTAAGTATACATATATGAGCAGTGACTAACTTTGAACACTAATAAACAATGACTTGCAACTTTTGTAACACAACACATTTCAGAGACCTGGCCAGCAGCAGTCACTTCGTTCCGGGGATGTTAGAACTAGTTGGGAATCATATGCACAGATGTGCGAGATTTGTTTTGGATCTTATTTGAGCTATTTGAATGAAACTATGGAGTTATTATTCTATATAATTTTACTAGTATATAAATCGGAGCATGCCAAATCGGTGGATTATATATATATATATATATATATGACCATATATGACCAGTAATTAACTATGATCAGTAAGTTTCTATGAACATTAAGTAACTATGAGCAGTAAGTAACTCTGAACAGTAAGTATCTATGATCAGTAATTATCTTTGATCAGTAAGTATACATATATGAGCAGTGATTCACTTTGAACACTAATAAACAATGACTTGCAACTTTTGTAACACAACACATTTGTGATACTCGGCCGGCAGAAGTCACTTCGTTCCGGGATGTTAGAACGAGTTGGGAATCATATGCACAGATGTGCGAGATTTCTTTTGGATCTTATTTAAGCTATTTGAATGAAACTATGGAGTTATTTTTCTATATAATTTAACTAGTATAAAAGTCGGAGCATGGAAAATCGGTGGACTATATATATATATATATATATATAGCTACCATAGGAACAATCGGACGATTTGTAGAACTATGACTAGTAATTAACTATGATCAGTAAGTATCTATGACCAGTAATTATCAGTAAGTATCTATAACCAGTAAGTAATTATAGAATTATGATTCGTAATTAGCTATGACCAGTAATTAACTATGATCAGTAAGCTTCTATGAACATTAAGTAACTATGAGCAGTACGTAACTCTGAACAGTAAGTATCTATGATCAGTAATTATCTTAGACCAGTAAGTATCTGTGAGCAGTGAGTAACTTTGAACACTAATAAACAATGACTTGCAACTTTTGTAACACAACACATTTCAGAGACCTGGCCAGCAGAAGTCACTTCGTTCCGGGGATGTTAGAACCAGTTGGGAATCATATGCACAGATGTGCGAGATTTGTTTTGGATCTAATTTAAGCTATTTGAATGAAACTATGGAGTTGTTCTTCTATATAATTTTACTAGTATGTAAGTCGAATCATGGCGAATCGGTGGCCACATAACATATATTATTAATTTTTCTAAATGAAGATTAAATTTAAATATTTTTCGATTAATTCATCATGGTTTGTGGGGTCGAAGATTTGTTAAGTAATTTTTATACAATTTAAACTTTCGAAACAGAATACGGCAACTTCTACAACGAACTTTTAATGAACCATAAAAGCCTTTTATTTGCATACACCACCCACACTACATCACTTCCATTTGATATAACTTTAACACCTCTGATATTTCATCCGTTTATGAATATTCGTAAAGTCGACTAATTGGAGACGTAAACATTTGTGGGCCAAGAATCGTGCCCAATTAAATTTAGCTCCGACTCAGGGCAAATATAAAACTGAAAAAATGATGAGAAAAATCCAGATCATAATAAGAATGCAATAAATGGAGGAAATGTGCCTGAAAATTGGCCCAATCTACTGGGTTTCTTCGAATCTAGGAATTTACGCGTCCGCACAGGACCCATTCGAGTGGCGAGCGTGGCAAGCATTCGCAATTGCTTCTGCAATTGTCCTGTCCCCAGTTTATTTGCTTTGCCTTGGGGCGTTATAATTTTCGGAGGGGATTCCCCGTTCTATCTGCTGATTAGCATGCGTGTGTGTGTGAGATGCTGAGCAAAAGTTTGAAGGGGGGGCGAAGCTTCTAGTAAACATTGGCTAAACAATTTAATTAATAAAAATATGCAAATTTAATTAGAGAGAGCACCCGGGGAGCCGGCGAGGTTGCTTGTTAAGAAACATTTTTGTTGGCCAAAAGTTTCCTAAGCCATTTTGCGGGCATTATGTAAACATTTCGAGACATAAGCCCTTTTTTATCCACGCTCAAGTGAATTTTTAAGGCCTTTTTTGTCTAAGTATTTTTTAATTGTTGCCCAGTTGAGGTAAACTTTCTATGCCGCTCCTTACATGAATTAATATTAATTGAGTATGCAAAGTTCCCGCATTTGAGTATTTTCACAAGGCCTAAAGATAAAAGGAAACAGGAAAAGATATAAAGACGGGAAAAATGTGATAGCAAATCCGAAGACCCAAATCAACTGCCCTTTTCTTTCACTCACTTTGTCTCTTGTGATTCTCCGCTCTGCTTGGTATTTTCCTTTTGTAAATTTAAAGAAAACAAGGATTTCCCACAAATTGTCGCAGTCGAAGGAGCATTTCGTAAACAACCGTCGGGCAGAGCATTAAATTAAGTAGTGCTTTCGACGCCTTCCATTTCATTTGAAGCACCTGAGCGAGAGAATTGAATTTCCCCAGACCCCAGAATATGTATGTTTTGTCGTTGGCCCAAGAAAGTAGGCAACATAAAATGAACAAAGTGACGCAAAAGGTGTTGCATAAAACAGTGGGCATAAATTGTTCAGAAGGCAAAAGGTCCTTGACAAAGGATGATTGAAATTGTAGGAAATAATTCCTCAGACATTTTGTCCATAAATAATATGTATAATGTAGGAATCGTTTTAAATAAAGAATTCAGGGGCTTTAAATTATTTTTTAAGGAAGCGTTTTACAACTATTTTAATCATATCCATAATTATACCAATTTTTAAAAACTTAAGTGTAAAGTGTAAATATCACTTTTAAAATAAGCCACAAAAAACACATACAAAAAAATCATAACAAAATAAAGCAAAAATAAATTATAATCCTCTTTCTTTACTGCTTTTTCTCGCAAAAAAACAAAAAAAAAACAGGAAACCATATTAAATAATTCTATAAATGGCATGCAAAAAATGCCCGGATTAATGGCATTTATCCTGCATGTACGGCTTAGCCTGGGAACACTGTGCCTGGCAATCTCTCACGTTTACTTCCTCCGCAGCTAAGCGGCTTTTGCGCTGCACCACATTTAAATACATTTTTAATTTTCATCATTTTCCAATTAGTGTAGTTTTTTATTTCTATAAACAGCAAGTACCACTTTATGACTAACTAAATGGACTTTAATTGCGCATTTATTAAACATGAAATACAAGATAGTCTTTGAGGCATTAAGGTCATGCTTCAATTACAATTCGATTGAATTCTGTTCAAGTTTGGATGCTCCCAGGCCAAGTCACTCGTTCGATTCACTGAACAATTTCGGGCCAATCTGAGCTCACAACTGTTGTTATTAATGCAGGGAAATTAATTTCAATTGCCTGTTCACAGAACTTTGCAATCAACAAGTTTAAGACAAACTTCGCGCTAAAGTTTTAGCAATTGAAGTGGCAACCCGCTATATATGGGAGTAGCAACATTAAACTATAGGGCCGCCTTAATATGGGAGAGCGGAGAGTTAAGCTTAAAATGATTGCGATAATCCGAAAGGACTTACTCGATCCAGGCCAAAGGGCCATTAAGCCAAGGGGACAACTTCAATTTTGCAGCATAAAATAAAGATTCTGGCCGATACAAGAAGGAAAAAGGTCGCCAAGACCAAAAGGACAAAGGGGAAGCAACAAATGTCCTGTGCATAGAGCACACATCATCATCCGGGACCCGCCGCCACAATGGTCTTGGGTTCCATGTTGACTTTATGGCTTAGGCCAGGCTAAGAAGCAATTTCTGAAGGGGCCAGCTCAGGGCATTTACCGAATTATAAACATATGAAATTTAAGCCATAAAAGCATAATTAAGTTGAGATGGAGCCAAAACGGTTCTCATAAGCTAGCCTAAAAATTCGCCACATTATAAGAAGCTCTTCTCAATGACTTAATTAAAAAATAGAAAATTCTTACGTAAAAGCTAAGTCGGTATAATAAGACGCAGAGTTTTATGAAACATATTTTTAAAGGTATTAGGAAAAATTACTAATTGAGCAAGCCATGTCCATTTCGCTTTCAAATTTAAATAATATGTCAATTACTGTAAGCCGTTTTTTTAAGTACGAATAGAATAATCACAGTATATTTAGCTTCTAATAAGTACTTACAAAAATCAGGGCTATATATTTTTAAATATTAAATAATTAAAAGCCAAATTAAGTTCAGTAAAAGTTAACAAATATTACAACAGATTTAATTAAATAAAAAAATAATAATAGTTGTAATTGTTAAGTTGTACATATGACAATGCAATCTTTGAATCAATATTTAGACATATATTTTTGTATGACAATTTTTCGACATATCAAACTTTAAAAAACTCATAACTAAGCCAAAGAACAATTAATTTTTATTTTGAAAATTCTTCTATTTTAGTTTTTATAAGCTTAACAAATCCGCGTACTCAAATTAGATTTTTTTTACAATTTTAATGATGTAACCCTTATCTTTTTTGAAAAAAAATTGAAACTTTTGAAAAATCCTATTTTTATCCTCATAGGTAGATCTATGTTTAATTCATCACTCATATTTTTAAAATTACAAATTATTTGAATTTGTATCGCTGCTTTTTAAATATCTTTCCCTATCTATCTATGTATCTTCTTACTTATCTAAGAATAATTTGGCTCTTTTGTTATTTCCAAGAAAAATTTAAATATTTAAATTTTTACCACTAACTGTATTAACAATTATTTTCTTGCTTTAAATTTAACGTTCTTTAATTAAATTTGAACTATACGTAGTAATTTATTTATATTAATACAGATTTGAAATCTATTGAACGGGTGCCAATGTTATGACCAAAACTTCAGAAAATCATTTTAATTGTATATTATTTTTAACTTTTAATATATTTTCAATACTTTAGACACCATTTCAATTGATTTAAAATCCACAGCGAATAGTTTTCCGCTCACCTTTTCACAACAATTCACACAACACTCTCCCAAAAAGACTTTTCCTTAGAGTCTCGTAAATATTTCACTGGAAAAAAGGCCAAGCACTGAGTTTAAAAAACGTTTCTTGAATATTTTTTAAATACCGATAACGATGCTCTGGTTCGACTGCTGCTGACTGAACGGCTTTGAGTTTGAAACGTAAGTGAAATCGGCAGCCAAGGAGACCGCGATTTATACGAGGCGAGGATACGAAAGATTTCAACGCGTTCAGGTGGGACCCGGACTCGGTACGGGGCCCGACAGCGAATCCCGAAGTCCGGGACCACCGAAGACTGCCACTGCCACCTCTGCCTCCGCCTCCGCCTCCGCCCACAACGTAATCGACATCGACGGTTGGCGTATTTCGGTGAGGATTTGCGCAGTCATGGGCGCTAGTGGGTGCTGGCCACCCAGTCGTATACGCAACACGTGGCAAAAGGGCATCGGCAACCAGTCGTATACGTATTATTTTGCTATCACTTTATTAATCATCTATTACGCACAATTATCAAACTGTTTATCGTGGCCACCGGCACCATCGATCATGCTATCAGCATCAGGACTAATCAGCATCTGATTATTTTCAATTAGTTTTGCCATCCCAGGCAGCTGTCAGACCCTAATCCAATATAAATCCCCCCAATAAACTAGATTATTATTAATTCTACGTGGCATTATCGCATAAATGGCAATTACATATCTCTTTGCAATTTTTCCGAACCCGCATTGACTAATCATCGAGAGATTACCCAGTCACCAATTACTATATTTTGGGAATTTTTTCTCATACTCACAATTAGTCGCTTATCACCACGATAAATAGCATGATGATGCAATATATAGCTGATATGCAAATTGGTATTGGAAATACAGGAACTATGCTTGGTCTGTCACACGTAATTGAGTGGGCAGATTTCCATATCAATTTATCTAGAATAAAGGGAAAAGAAACTATATTAATTGGTTAGTGATAAGTATTTCTAAAAACCTTACCCCTATAACTCTTTAATACAAAACCTCGAGGTATGTAAAAAATAAATATTCCCCATCATTGTTTGTCGTCAATTCAAGTATTATTTAACTCTCTTTTTCCGCAGACTGAAGTGAATTTGAGTATAATAATGGAAATGGCAACGGAAGTGGGAATATCCAAATGCGTGTGTGGGGAATCCTTGCTGCTTATATCCGTATATACATACGTAAACAAAAAAAGAACATGTTTATCTTCGCATATGTATGGATTTTATGGCAGGAACAGAAAACGCGTCTAATGATAATGTGGACTGATAAAAGCTTTACAATGTTTTTGTTCTTGTTGCCAGCGACGTGTCCAGCGTGGCTTTGGTTTTTGTTATATTTTTTGTTTCGGCCTGAAACGTGATTCTAATCTCTAGGGTCGCGACCTTGCCTACACAAAAAAAAAAACAAATAGCCCATGGTCAGCGGAAGGATCTCAAGTTGGAATTGGACTAGACAGCCCTGGACACTTGGACATCCAGCTGTCAAAGTCACTCCAAGCCAATAGACTAATTAAGAGGAATTATGCAGGCAAAAAAAAAGAAACTTTCGGTCAACCCCAAACCTTTCGGTTGGTTCTCATACATACATAATTCGTCTGAGACATCAGTAAACATCAAAGAAATTGCATTTCGCTGTACTCCCACTGGAGGTTTGGTTCAGAATCGAGCTGATTTATGGGAAGGAACTATATACAAGAACTATACATACTATATGTAGAACGAGTGCATATAAATCTGTTCCTATGAAAATTGAAATGGACTTTGTTGTAAGTATAGCACGTAGCGGTGACATCCCGCTGAGCGTAGTCCGAGGCATAATGCATATTTGATTTTTATTACCACAAAAAGGATGCCAAGGAAGGGTTGGGTTGGCATCCACTTTGAGCTGCGATAACTCAGCAAGAATCCGAGCCATTTCCGCGGACAAACATTGCCAGCAATCTGGCTAAAGGGGATGCAACGACCATAAGGGTTTATGCCTGATTTGAGGATATGCAGATATATAGAAGTACGTACATATGTAAATAAATATGAATATTCATGGGAATTATTTTTATGCTATCGGACAATAAATTGATACTACTATAATTATTTGCATACAAGCTGCGATTTTTATCGGCGATTGAACAAATGAAATGAATAAAATTTTAATTACGAACTTTGGGCCAAAGAATCCCGTAAATGTATATGTATGTATTAATAAACGAACAAATATTAGAAATTTATGTTGCGTACTTAAAACATTTCTTTATTACTTAAAACTGTTTGTAAAAATTGCAAACGGAATTGAACGAAAGGTTTGCATATTTGTTGTTTAGATATATATAACTACGACTAATCGAGAGGAATAAGGTAATGCAAAATTACTCATCATCTTCATCATCGTCGTCATCATCATCATCATCCTCCTCATCCTCGTCGTCGTCGTCGTCCTCTTCGTCTTCATCGTCATCCTCTTCATCAATATCGTCGTCATCGGTATCATCTCCATCCTCACCGCTTTCGTCTTCACCCGCCGCCTCCTCAGCATCCTCTTCATCGGATTCCCCTTCCTCGGCCTTGGCGGCCTCGCTGTTTGATTCCTTGCGCGCCTTTTTCGTGGGCACAGCGGTGTCCTCGCCATCGTTATCCTTTGGAGCAGCATCAGCTGCTACTAAAGCTGCCTTCTCTTTTTTCAATTCGGCCTTGCGCTTCACCTGATCTGCGGTAAGCTTCACGAACTCGGCATCCTTGGTCATGGCGAACCGGGAGAGTACCTCGTTGGCCTGCTTCTTCAACTTGAGCATGCGCTGCTCCCGTGGTCCCACCACATAGGGTGTATCTGCTGGCGGAGCACACATGCTGACGTACAATGGCAGCGCCGAGTTCCCACAATGTCGATCTTAAGGTACAGCGACCTAATGTTGGCTAGTCCGCCGGGAAAGTGCTTCTGCAGTTGCTTGCTTACCTGCAGAATATTCTCCGCAAGTTGTTCGGCGCTGTGCTGATGATTACCGACTGGAATGGCCGTCAGATCGCCCTTGCCAGCTGCCGGTAAGCGGTTCGTTTAAGGGCGCGGGTTACCTCCTCTGCTAGCTGGTCAGCTTCAACGCTCAGGCGCACGGCGTGAAGTACATTCCGCGGCTTTTGGGTAAACTAGAAAGATGGAGAGCTGTCAGTACGAGCCGAAGATTAGGATGCAAGTGGTTTATAGACCTGCAGGGCAGTGTATATATACCACTCGCCGAGGATTATTTATGAGCTCAATAGCGAGTTCTTAGAATACAGGGAATTACCATAAAGTACAGGCAGATATCTTACCTTGCCCAGAAAGGCAGTAGCCTGTCCGGAGAGGCGACCATCACAGAGCAGGTAGTCGTAACTGTTCAGGAACTTACGCTTCGCCTCAAAGGTGCCCATCTCGTTGCGCAGCTGGTTGAATGGCACGATGGTTAGGCGCTGCTCCACGCCCGCCTCACGGAACAGATCCTCGTAGTGCTGCTTGGTTGGCTCAAAGTCAAACTTGGCACCTCGCTGCAAGTCCGGCACAATGATGGCCACATCGTCATCGCTGCTAACCAGCGAATGCTTCAATGACAGCTTTGCCACGCGCTTGGGGCTGCTGGCGATCTTGTAGCTGGCCACCTGCAGCATGTAGCGGTAGTCGGTGAAGATCGAGGTAGCCTTCTTCTTGGCTACTTCGCCCTCCACAAGTGTCTTCAGTGCCTCGCTGATTTTGGTTACATTGGCCTCGCTAACGATCTCCTTGTACCTGTCCTCGTCGAAGGACTTCAATTCGAAGGTCAGCTCGACAGGCTTCTTGGTCTTAACAGGCTCCTTGCGAACGGGCTTACCCTTGGCGCTGTGTTCTTCTTGCTAATGCTTCTCTTTCCTTTGGGCGCCTTGGCTGGCTTGGATATCTTCTGCACTGACTTTGCCTTCTTTTGGAGCGAAGCAGTTGGCTTGGCGGGCTGCTGGGACTTTTTGTGTTCCTCAGCAGCAGCTGGTTTTTGGGATTTTTTTGCGGCAGGAGCAACTGCAGCTGGCTTCTTAGCTGGAGCGGATGGCTTCTTGGCTGGAGCCGCTGGCTTCTTGGTCGCAGGAGGAGCAACTGCAGCTGACTTCTTCGCTGGAGCTGCGGCAGCATCTGACTTCTTGGCTGCGGGAGGAGCAGCTGATTTCTTAGCTGGAGTGGCCACTGCTGCTGGCTTTTTAGCTGCGGGAGGAGCAACTGCAACTGCTTTCTTAGCTGGAGCCGACTTCTTTGCTGGAGGAGCCTCGGTTTCAACGACCTTTTTGGCCGACTTTTCTTTTTTATCAGCAACAGGAGCCGCCGCCTTGGACTTGCCTTGTTTTTTAGGCACCACTGGCGACTCTGGAGGAGCCAGGATCAGTGCCCTCTTGACAGCCTCTGTCTTTGCGGGAGCAGCTGCCTTTACTTTGGACTTCTTGACTGCCGCAGGAGCAGGAGAAGGTGACTGGGCCAGAATCATTGGCCTCTTGGCCGCCTTAGTTTGCTGCTTCTTCTCTGCATCTGGTTTCACCGCTGGCTTTTTCTGCTCCTTGGCCTTCGCCTCGACTGGCTTGGGGCTAGCATTCTTCAGCTTTTTCGCGTTGGCGGCGACCGCGACGACAGCTTCTTCGGGCAGTTTCTTGGCCTTCTCCTGCTTGCCCTTCTTCTTGGTCACGCCCTCGATGCTGCTGCTCTTGGTGAGCGACTTTGGCTGTGGTTTCTGCACTTTAACCATCTTAAATTGGGCAACTGTTTGTTTTCTTTCGGGGGTTAAATTATATTTTAAATGCAACACACGCCGTAGTAAACTATACACGTGCGAAGTTCATAAATGTACTAAAAAATACCGCAAGAGCCGGCACAAAAATTCTGGCGGCAATTAGCGTATTTTAACTAATCCGTGGTGGGAAACTTTGCTAAATAAGCCGTTGGAATCGAAGATCAGAATTATTATAATTAATTAATTATACGTTATTCTTTTACCTTCTATTAATTAATTTTATCATTTGGGGCAGATAATTTTTTTTAGTTCTAGCAATGAAACCTAAAAGCTATCTTTAACCTTTAACATTTTCTTAGATTAGGTTTATATGGAAAATTACTAGAACCGCTCAATCAAATATATATTAAATAGTATACATTTTAATGTACTTTAAATTATTAATTATTATAAGAAATTATTTTATTTGAAAATAATTAATAAGTTAAAAGTGATTTCATATTTAAATCCTTGCTCAAAATACAACAGAACTCTATTTCGGAACCGGGATTTGTATTTCTATTTAAAATAAAATAAAGAGAAATATTTAATTATACAAACAAAATACAATAATTATTATCTATTCCATTTCTTCTTATATATATATAACCAACTCAAAATCGCCAAAAGCCTTAATATTTACATATTTGCTCACATTCGTGCGGCTTACTTACAACTTCCTTTTATTTCGCTTCTATTTAAATAGCAAACAGTTTATTTTAAGTAAAATAATTCTAAAAATAGTCACATCTTGCACATTACACGTGTGCCTAATCGCCCCGCCATGCCACCGCCGAAAGTCCTTGACTCAGACTCACACAATCCGCCCACACACAAACACACACGCAGGACACTCGCACAGGGAATCCTCGAAATGCCGGCGCATGCCAGCTCCCATGGTGCACCAAATTGGAGCCATCAGAGCTCTCCTTTAACCAGAAATCCTTCGTGGGCGTGTGTGTGCCTGTGACCGTTTTCAAGAACGTGACTGGCGAGGCGAAAACTTGGCTAGGCAAAAGGCAATTAACAGAGGGAGAAGGAATCTTAATTTGTACAATTAAAGCTTGAGCTTCTTGGCATTCGCCTTTGACGGATCCTTCTTGGGTCGCTTATTGCTAGCAGTTGCCGCTGTTGTGTCTTGCAGCTTGTTGAAGAACGCCTTGGACGACTTCAAAGCACCCTGGTCGTTACTGCTCGTGTTGATCTGCAAAAGATGTTGTATTGTATAAAATTAAGCCTCAAATTCTCTTATTTTCTATTTTTCTATTAAAACTTACCTTTTCAACATTTCGACTTTTGGTGATGCTCTTCAGCAGCTTGGCATCCGCTTCCCTCTTCGTTGGCGCCTTGCCCTCCTTGGCGCGCTGCAGATCACGTTTCTCCAAGGCCGAATTGATGGCTCGCTGCTTCTGTTTCTTCTTGCGCCGTTCGCGGTTCTTGTCCGTTCGGTCGCGTTCAGCCTTGCCCAGAGGCGCATGCTTGGGACCGCGGAACACTTCCTCGGGTGCCAGCAACTTGGCATCGCTCACTGCCACCGGTGCCACCTCTTCCATGTGCACCGCCGGCGTATTGGTCACTATCCTAGCCTCTGGCGCTACCGGCTTGGGTGTGAAATGGAAGTTGGAAAGGGCGTCTAGCTTGAGGAAGAGCGAACGCATGGCTCGCTTGATTTCTTGGTGTTCTTTTGGCTCCGGACCGGATTTATCGTCCGCATCACGGTTGGGATCAAGCTTATCCAGCTCGCGCTGATACTGCGCCTCATAGATCTGGGACAGAGATTGTTTGGACTTCTCCTGGTCTAGAACCAGCTGCTTGCGGTACTCCTGTGGCGTGTTTACTGGACGCACTGTGCGCTCCACATCGTCCCAGGCCTTGTCACGTATCCGCTGCTTGATAATGTCCTCGATGGAGCGATTATCCTCCTCTGTAATTGGCGCTGTAGGTCTGGTTGTTGAGTCAAAGTCAAGGATTTCCTCGAGCAGCGAGTTCTGCGGGCGATTTGCCGCTTTTACCTCTCCCTTTAGCTGCCAGGGCTTCTCGCCCAGGACGACGTCCTCGTAATCACGAATGCGTTGAACAAGCGGGCCTCTCTTAGCTCATTTGAGGATTTGGAGGGCGGTTCGGCAGGCGTTTGATCTTCCTCTTCGTCATGTTCTTCCTTCTCAGAGTCAGAACCTGATTCGCTGTCGCTAGCTGGTTCGATGCCACTCTTGGCCACAAACTCTGATTCATCTATTTCACTGGCCACTTCCTCTTGATCCTCGCCTTGTTTGCCCTCCGCCAGATCAAGCTCTGCATTGTCCCCATCTTCGTCTTCATCCTCGTCCTGTTCATCTTCACTTTCGTTTTCGTTGAAGAAATCCTTCTGCTTGCCTTTGCCTTGGTCTTTGGCCTGCTGCTCGAGTTCCTCGTCCATATCAAAGAAGTCCGCATAGTTGACATTTCCATCATCGCTGTCGTCAAGACCGAAATTCTCCGAAAAGTGATCGATGGTATCATCCATTTGATTCCCTCTCCGCTTGCTGTCCAGTCGGCGCATTTCTTTGGCATCCTCCTGCTCCAGAAATTCATTCATTTCCTCCAACTTGAAAAAGGTGTCGTCCACTATAGAGCTACGCCCCCGCTTGCCGTGTTTTCGTTTGGGTGCAATGGCTTTCTGTTTCGATGGCTTCTCATTTGCATCATCGCTGAGATCCGATTCGTCCTCTTGTTCCTCTTCAGCAAAATCTTCTTCCTCCAGCTCCTCCTCCTGCTCTTCTTCTTCGCCATCATCCAGTTCGATGCCCAAATGCTGTTCCCGCATAGCCGTCAACCGGGCTGTGCTTCCAGCAGCTGCTCCAACACCAACTCGTTGCGTATCTCAAGCTGCTGCCAAATCTGCTCTTCATCCATGTGCTCCAGAACCAGCTCCGGCAGTATGTCCTTCTTGTTCGCCACATCGCCACTGATACTCACGCTGTAAGTTTGCTGGATGAGTTGCTCAATGGCGTCTATCTGGTCTGGTTGTGGCCTGCAATAAAAGTTGTTTAGAAAAGTAAAACACGTGCGCGGCGGGTTGGCAAACAAACTTGAGGAAACGCTCTGGATTGCTGGTCAGCTGCTCGAAATTGTCTTCAATTTCCTTAAAGACATTCGCCTTTTTGGATTTTTTCTTGCTTCCAATCATGTTCACAACGTTATCGTGTTTTTAATTAAAAATAAGTGAAACAATTCAGCGAAGCAAACAACAAGAGCGGTTAGGGATGACACTCTCAGCATGTGTTGCGCTGCGTAGAGATGGGAACAAACCCGATTTTTCGATAGAATTTAAATGTTCGTGTATTAGGGATATAAGCTTGGAAAAAATCCTGTTAAATGGTATGATAATTCATTAATTGCAAATGAAGAAATTAAAAAAATATAAAAACAAATGGCACCAACATCCAGCACGAATTATCGACAGCCTATCGATAGCGGCTTCCATCACTAGTAACAGCTGTAGCGGCTTCGTTGCAATTTCCAGGCGGTGTCCGTAGTTTCTTGCATAGACTATGCCAGGCGGCTCCAATTAGAACATGGATGCAAAATTCTTCAAACTGCTCCTCCTGGGCGGCGTGGTGCGCTTCTATTTCAGTCGCACGCCGTTGGCTGCCATGATTGGCAACCGAGTGGAGTTCGCGACGCCTTTGAATTCACACAAGCGCAGTGAGTAAACAAACGTACGGCTAATGGAATAGGTGTACATGTGTGTTGTACTCTTCCAGTGCAAGAAGGCATCTTCCTGCTGCAGAGCGGCATTGATCCGTACCAAGGCGATCTGGTCCACGAGACGCCACTGATCCTCAGCGCTCTCTCTGGCTTATTCCAAAAGTACCCGCATTTTTTGCCAGCATTCTACATCATCTTGGACGTCTTTACTGCCGCCCTTCTCTATCTAATGAGTCGTCGCTTTGTCCGGCAAAAGCAGGAACAGCAGACCACGGAACAAAAGCATTATGCGAAGGACACTGTGGAGCTGCAGTTCAGCGAATTGGACAAATACGACATTCCCGAACTGGTGATCGTGGCGTATCTCTTCAATCCTCTGACTGTGATGAACTGTATTGGCATGACTTCCACGGTGATCAGTAATTTGTTCCTGGCCTCATTTCTGTACTGCCTGGTGAAAGGTCTGCTGCTTCCCTGCCTTTTGGTTCTGGCCTTTGAAACCGTCCGCAGTTTCTACCCCATCGTGCTGATAGCTCCACTGCTCCTGGTCTTTTCACGAAAATCCATCCGGAGGGGTCTAGTCATAACGCTGCTCTTTATCGCCAGCTGTGTGGGTGTGGCTTTTGCCAACTTCTTTGTTCTGAATAGCTGGAACTTTTTGGACGGCACATTGGGATTCATGTGAGTAAATCAATCTGTTTTGAATGTTATCAGATAATTACAACGTTCCCGTTTTCTTTAATTCACAGATTTTATTTCCGAGACTTGCAGCCCAATATCGGATTGTTCTGGTATTTCTTCACAGAAATGTTCGAGCACTTCCGAACCATGTTCCTGATCACATTCCAACTGAATGCCACGGTATTGTACCTGTTGCCTCTCAGCATTAAGTTGCGCAAGGAGCCACTCCTATTGGCCACCGTCTTGGTGGCTCTCATGGCCGTGTTTCGAGCATATCCCAGCTTGGGCGATGTTGGTTTCTATTTGGCTTTGCTGCCGCTGTGGAAGCGTTGCTGGAAATGTGAGTTTTCGATTGTTACACTCTTGAAAGTTACTAATTTATAATTTATTTTAGTTATGGCGCATGGCTTTGTGGTCTTCACATTCTTCCTGGTTACTCTGTCAATGATGGGAGCTTTGTGGCATTTATGGATCTACGCTGGCTCTGCAAATGCAAACTTTTATTTTGGAGCCACTCTTGCCTTTTCAACTGGCCAGATATTCCTCATCACGGATCTACTCTTCGCACACGTTAAACGGGAGTTCTGTCTCTTCAAGGGCCAAAAAATTTGGATTGACGGCGTTGAGGCGAGAATAGTCTTGAAATAAGCCTTTCGCGAACAATATCAGCTCATTGTGTGGATGCTAGAACCTTGTACAGATGCAAAAGCTGCTCCGCTGATACATTTTTTTAAGAAGCAGGCGGAGGAGCAGCAGGGCATACTCTTAACATAAGTAAACTTTAAACGATATCAAATTAAAACAAAAACTTTATTTGATTCTAATGGATTGGCGATTTACTGATGTGAATAACCTGTCTTGGTCTTGCGGTTCAGGAACCTGTACAGGTAGAGGATACGCTTCTCCATTTCCCTCCATTTGGTCGGTCTAGCTATAGGGTACTTGGACTTCTCCAGAGACGGCGCTTGCGCAGCAGCACCTGGTATTCGTTGCCGGAGACTCCACGCAGCCATGATGGCAGTGAGTAAAGCACCTTCACTGGATGCAGGCGGTCATTGCCCAGTATGTCGATGTAGTCATTCTGGCCGAAAAGAGCACGCTTCTGCGACCAGGCATTCTTTGGGCGGTACACGGGCATAGGCAGCTTTTGGCCATTGTCCACATGCGGCAGCAGGCCGCTCTTGAAGATCTTGTCCTTGTATCCATAGCGGCGCACAGTGGGACCGCGTGCTCGTCGCTCGGCATGGGACAAGTGTCGCACGGTGGTGGAAGTCGAGGCAACCGGCGCCAGTGTCTTGCCACCTAGGGTCAAGAGCGAGGCTCTGCCCAGTTTCTGGATCGCACTACTCAGCCAGGACATGGTTTTTCTTAATTCTATGATTAGATAATTGTAAACACAGTCCAGATGCCGGAATTGATGGCAAAAGAAAACAGGCACCAGAGAAACAGCTGACTAAAGTAATCGATATATCGAGATAAGCTATCGATTATGAGAAACAAGCACAGTGGTATGAAAAATATAGCTTCTTAATAGGGTTTTAATGCTTTTACTCGTGTTGCTAATGTTGAGATATTCCTTAATTTTGCGTTTTTATGTCCACGTCCACGTGAAATTGAAACGTAAATCAGTTATTTTCGGGATAAAATACTACTCTAATCCGATATACGATCGTTATCGATATTTTGCCTCCACATCAAAACACCGACCTCTGAACAGCTGATAGTGGCAAGACCAATTAATTTAGATCACAATTTGTTGATTTACTTCTTTAAAGTTTAAACAGTGCAATGATCGAAATAGATGTTGAGGACGAGAGGACAAAGCTGAAGCGGGAGATCGCTGAACTGCGAGCGGCGCTCTACAGCAAGGAACAGAGTCTGCGTAACCTGGAGGAAATAGTATCTGCTGCAGCTGCTGACCAAAATCCGGACCATGGGGGCGCTCCACAGTCGCCAACTAGGACACGGCACACCAAATTGACCAACGACGATATAGCCCGATACAGCCGGCAGCTGATCTTGCCCGATTTTGGTGTTCAGGGGCAATTAAAGCTGAAAAACAGCTCCGTGCTGATTGTGGGCATGGGCGGACTTGGTTGTCCGGCAGCCCAATATCTGGCGACAGCCGGTTGCGGCCGTTTGGGGTTCGTGGACTACGACCGTGTGGAGCGAAGCAACATCCACCGTCAGATCTTGCACTCGGAGGCGCGGATTGGCTGGACCAAGCCGGAGTCGGCAAGGTTCGCACTGCTGGAGCTGAACCCGCACTGTGAGATCGACAGCCATGTGTTGCTACTGAACAGATACAATGCCCTTAACGTCATCCAGTCCTACGACGTGGTCCTGGACTGCAGTGACAATGTGGCCACACGTTATCTGCTGAGCGATGCCTGCGTAATGCTGCAAAAGCCCCTCGTATCCGGAAGTGCTCTCAAGATGGATGGACAACTGACCGTCTACAACTATAGGAATGGTCCCTGCTATCGGTGCCTCTATCCAGTACCGCCTCCGAAGGAATCTGTCACCAATTGCGGTGATGGCGGCGTCCTGGGCGCTGTTACTGGCACAATAGGAGCCATGCAGGCCCTGGAGGCTATCAAGGTGATTGTGGGCCTAGGTGATGTCCTTGCCGGTCGACTGTTGATCTTTGATGGCAGCACAAGCTGTTTCGCAACATTCGCATCCGCAACAAGCGACCAACTGTCACGTTTGCTCCGCACAGCCATTGATTACGCAGCTGATCGACTACGAAATGTTCTGCGGAATGCGAGCGAACGACAAAGAAGACGCGCAACATTTGCTCTCCAGAGAGGAACGTTTAAAAGTGAAGGAGTACCAGGAGAAGCTGCAGACACAACCACATCTGTTGATCGATGTCCGACCGCCGGCTGAATTTGAGATCTGTCAGCTGCCTGGTGCTGTGAACGTGCCCCTGGCCGAAATCCTTGACGATAGCTACATCAAGCGGTTCGGCACCGAGCTCGAGGACAAGGAGCTGCCCATTATTTTGCTGTGCAGGCGGGGCAACGACTCCCAGATAGCAGTTCAGCATGTGCGCACTCGATTTCCCATGCATTCCATCCGGGACCTGATCGGCGGACTGCATGCCTGGACGAAAAAGGTAGACCCAAGTTTTCCTATATATTAATCAATAAAAACAATTAAAAAATATATCGAAATTCTCATTGATTCTTAAGGTAATTATCCTTGAAATGGTTAATATTATCTTATCTTTTTTCATAGCGACATTTGGAAAGTACTTTCTTGTACAAAAATACTTTATAAAAATGAAAAACCCATATAAATCTGGGTTCAACAAAACTTTCCCAATTTCATACAGGTAGAAGGTTATCATTTTCCTCCAATTCTGTTTTGTTACCCATCATCGGCACCGGACACAACAGCTGAGTGACATTCGAGCCCAGAAGCAGGCAGAGAGAAAAAAAACAATTTATACAGAGCCAGGTAGATTGGCGGGCAGGTGTAAGACTTCGCCCAACGCACACACCTTTGATTGGAAGAAGAGAATGCAAGCATTAACGAAATGGTATCGATATGAACAGTGCTGTGGACTTGGCTATAATGGATATTTAGCCAAGTTATTACTGTAAGAAATTATTATTTTATTTTAAATGGGGTTTAACATAAAAAACGTATTACTTTATACTTTCCAGTGCTATTATCAAGAAACCAGCAATCGATATATTTAATTTTAAATTGATATTTTTAAGGCTGCTCTGAGCAATTTATCCCTTGTCTTATGCCCAGCACTGTGGGCATGCACTGCTCAAGTGTGGTGACTATATAAAAGCAGTTCTCTCCAGCATCTAGCATTAGTTGTGCTCGACTATAGCGGCAGAGAAGACCAAGCAATCTGTGCGAGATTTGTTTGGGTCAGATCTTTGTGTGTTTAAATAATTTAAATTCAAAGTGCAAAGCAGAAGCAGGCGGCAGGCTGATAAAAGCAGCTGGAGCTGAGGAAAAGTCGGAGGAGAAGGAGTTCTGGAAGCAGTCGAAGAATGGGAATACTAAATAATGGAGGACCAGGAGGATTTCTGGTCCTGTGGCTAGTGCTGATGCTGTGGGTAAGTACCGGCTGCCGATTTAGCTTCTGCATATATTTCTAAATTTAAATATTTTCCACAGCTACCCCACGGGCTCTCCATGGGCAATAGCTGTTCGGCTTCGGTGCTGGAGGCCCGCCGTTTCTTCGAGCTGGAGAATGAGCAATTGAGGAGGCGCTACCATGAGGAGTTCCTCTCCGGCTACACCTACAACACCAATGTCACGGAGGAAAATCGCCAGTCCATGATTGAGGTGTATGCCCGCAATGCTGAGCTCAACAAACGCCTAGCCCAGCGGATCAAAGCCTCACATTATTCGGAGTCCGAGGATGCCAACATCCGTCGCCAGGCCACGCATCTCTCCAAGCTGGGTGCCTCTGCGCTCAATCCCGATGACTACTTGGCCCTGCAGAATGCCATCAGTTCGATGCAGTCGAATTATGCCACCACCACAGTCTGTACTTATGCCAATCAAAGCGACTGCTCCTGCGCCTTGGAGCCGTGCATCCAGGAGCGTCTGTCCAATAGCCGGGACCCCGCTGAGCTGGCCTGGTATTGGCGGGAGTGGCACGACAAGGCAGGAACTCCCATGCGGGAGCACTTCGCCGAGTACGTGCGGCTGACGCGCAAGGCGGCCCATTTGAACGGTGAGTGGTAATCCGATAACCCAGCTGTCTGACCCTTAAAATGGGGAAACGGGGGAAAACGTCTGGCCTGCACAGGGAGAAAATGTAAGCCAATTGGGTCATCAGTGCTAAAGTTCTTTATATGTCGGAGAAGGGTGTCCGTTTTTGAAATAGAAAGATAGGAAAAATATGAACAAAATGTAACCTATTTTAAACACTTAACAAAAAAAAATACAATTATACATTTTGTAATACATTAATGTATTAATTTTAAAATTTATCCAAGTAATTCGATGCCTAAATTCCTTTTTAAAATTCTTTAGTGAAATACCAGTGTTTGTATAGATCTTTTTAATTCTTTCAGAAACAGTGAACTATTTTTCTCAGTTCTAAGCTTATCTATTAAAACCTCATTTTGATTCTAAAAATATATAATTATCAATTGAATGATGTAAATATTTTTATACAATATTATTATTTAATGCTTAGCACTTTTTTATTTTTTATTTTATTTTAAAAATTAGTATTTGATTTGAGAGGTATTCAAAATAGAAACTGAATATTTTTAAACCACCATCCTCCTTCAACCTAAAATTATTAAAAAAAAACAATTCATATTAATATTACTATTTTTCCATTGATAGATCATCGGTCGTATGCTGATTACTGGGTGCAATTCTATGAGGATGCCGACTTTGAGCATCAACTGGACGCCACATTCAAGCAACTACTGCCTTTCTACAGACAAATCCATGGATATGTGCGGTATCGGCTGCGTCAGCACTACGGTCCGGATGTAATGAAAGCGGACGGAAATATACCCATAAGCCTGCTGGGCAATATGTGGGGCCAGTCATGGACCGAAGTCATTGACTTATTCACACCCTTTCCGGAGAAGCCATTCGTGGACGTGAAGGCTGAGATGGAACGTCAGGGATACACAGTACAAAAGCTCTTCGAGCTGGGAGATCAGTTCTTCCAATCACTTGGATTGCGCGCCCTGCCGCCCACATTTTGGAATCTGAGTGTGCTTACCCGGCCGGAGGATCGTCAGGTGGTGTGCCATGCATCTGCCTGGGACTTTTATCAGGACAGCGATGTGAGGATCAAGATGTGCACCGAGGTGGACAATCACTACTTCTATGTGGTGCATCACGAACTGGGACACATCCAATACTATTGCAGTATGAACAGCAGCCGGCTGTCTTTCGAGGCGCTCCCAATCCTGGCTTCCATGAAGCTGTTGGCGATGTTATTGCCCTGTCGGTGATGTCCGCCAAGCACCTTAAGACCATTGGACTGATAGATAATGGCAAGCTGGACGAGAAGAGTCGCATTAACCAGTTATTCAAGCAGGCCATCTCCAAGATTGTCTTCCTTCCATTTGGCTATGCCGTCGACAAGTATCGCTATGCTGTGTTCCGGAACGAACTGGAAGAATCCCAATGGAACTGCGGCTTTTGGCAGATGCGTTCCGAGTTCGGAGGCGTAGAACCGCCAGTCTCCCGTACTGAGAAGGATTTTGATCCGCCGGCCAAGTACCATATTGACGCGGATGTGGAGTATCTGCGCTATTTTGCTGCCCACATCTTCCAGTTTCAGTTCCACAAGGCCTTGTGTCGCCTGGCCGGTCAATATGAGCCCAATAACAGCCAGTTGACATTGGATAACTGCGACATCTATAACAGCAAGGCGGCTGGACGAGCACTACACGAGTTCCTCTCAAAGGGTAGTTCCCGTCACTGGAAGGAGGTGCTGCAGGAGTTCACAGGCGAGATGGAAATGGATGCTGCCGCTCTCCTGGAGTATTTTGATCCTCTTTATCAGTGGCTTAAGCAGGAGAATAGTCGGCTAGGAGTACCACTTGGTTGGGGACCCACGGACAGTGAGTATATTATAATAACTCACGCCAAGGGATACAAAAATAAACCTAAAATTTTTAGATATTTAAATTAAGAGCAACTTTTGTCATGGCTTCTTTAAGTGGTTTTGTAGTCCCTTTTTGTGCTCTGTCTCCGATTATAAAATTATTTAACCATCTTATTTAAAATTTACACTTCTTTCAGAAATCCCCTCGGACTGCTGCGGAACTTTCAGCACTTAGGCCTTAAACTGTCCAGACATTGACGTGTGGGGTTCTTTAGAGACCCCAAAAAAAATATTTAATGTGACATAAATAGGACATTAAATAAACGACTTTTGAAACCGTTGTAAATAATTATAATTGCGAAATGATATTTAAATTGATATTTATTGTATCGATTCATTCGTATCGCTATCGCTTCTTTCGTTTCATTAATCAATTTGCCATTACATAATACATGCTTTTATAACGAGTTTAATCCATTATCATTTTCCATCAAAACCGAGAAATGTATAAATTATTTTGTTCATTAATTGTATTTCAATCTCAATTTCGAATTAAACTGTGTTACAATTGAACAATCCCACACAAAAGTTGTATACATTGTTTTTTCGGTCAGTGTAAATTTTCGATATCTTGCTTGCTTTTATATTTTGTACACAGCAAAAGCTTTCAAAAGTTCATCTCAAATGGGCAATATTTTATGAGTTTAGAGCTGGTTGCCAAGGCTTTGAATAACTTGGTAGTAATATGACTGATAATTATCCAAAAAAAATCTTAAAATATATTTTTATGGTGTATTTGTAAGGATTAAAATCACAATTAAATGACGTATTATTAAGGAACGACATTGAAATAAAATAAAAAGAACTGTTCTGACTTATTTTTAATGAACTTCCCAATTTTATTTTCGCTCTGCCATACTTCAAGGCAAGTCATTCAAAGCCTTTATTTTTTTGGGTGCTTGTGCTGTATATATTGTTCTTATATCGATGTTTCAGTGAACTGGTTTGTTGTTGATATCAAATTCCACAGATTTTGATTTTTAGTCTTTGTTTTTTAAAGTCAAAATAAGGATTTTGTGAAATACGAGCGTTGTGTGGATTTTAGATACAATCATTTTAGTTGTTTAATTTAGAGTGAAGAATAATTTATAAGGAAAAATGAGAACATTCTAAGAACTAACAATAAATATTTGGAAATTGTTTTATTTCTTTTCTTTTTTTTTTTTTTGTTTTGTTTTTTTGATTGGATAATATATGTAAATCCTGTTTCATTTCGCAATCTCCTCCCGTACTTTGCGTGTGATATGGGAAAATACTCGATGGCATTTACTTAGCGTTTTTCGTTCAATTATCGTTTTGTTAAACCTTTGTTTATATATGTGGTAAAAATTGTATATGTTTAGTATATAAATATTTTATATAATACGTTTCAAAGCCATAAGACGGAGGACATTGGTTAGCCACTGTAATGAGATTTAATTGTAATTCAATAAGAATCGATAGGCCATAATAAATAGGCCTGTTCCGCCGACTTATAGCTCTGCAACGCAGTATACAATTGCTCGGGGGAATTGCTCCAATACTTGAGCTTTACATATATATGCCTAGAAATGTAGGAGTGTTAATGATAGGATTATTGGACTAACAGTAAGATCAGCTAGTGTTTTTCTTTGAGATACAGATAAATGTTTCTATAATAATATATGATTTTCCATTTTATCTCTCAACAGGGGCTATAAAATCAAACCAGATATATCATCCATATTATTATAGGCCAAGAGTTTAGTTTTGGTTAGTGCTACGTGGTTTAGTTTTTCTTTTTACTTTCGTTGGATAGTGTGTATTGGCATTCTAACAAATCAAATCAGAGTCAACGCAAATAATGGAACTAGATCTATGCACTCGATGCGGAATCTCAAGCATTTGAAGTTTTCAATTTTAAATATACGTTTATACAATTTGAGTAATACATACGATGCATAATAAGGATCTTATCCTTTACTACTTAGCGATTATTATTGAATACAAATTTCATCATGTGTTTATCATTTAATATTAAACGTGAAAAGTGAGTGGGTTCGCGTACACTCCAAATACATTTTCATCCTTTCCTTTCGCAAAAAAACACGTACTTTTGGATATCTCAAGAACTTAATGGAGGAGCATGGCAAGCTTTTCGAATGAGAGTTGGTGGTGGATTGTGTATGTGTGTGTGTGGTGTGTGTTCGTTCTGCACTTGAATTTGAATTGACTCTTGGAGAAATGTCGCTTAATTGACCCTTTCCGAAGTGTTGGCAGCGGCTGCTTATGTTCTTGGACCTTTTGCTTAGTCCAAGAACGGGTTTTGTCATACGGGTCGCGAATGGTGGGCATGCGGATGGGGATGTTGTTGTTGTTGATGCTGATGAGACTGCGTTACGCTGCTACTGATACTATGGTTGCTGCTGCTGGTGCTTGCACCACCTCCGCCGCCGCCGCCGCCACCACTACTTCCCCCCTTGGGCCGTGTGGGAGGCGGCGGTGGTGGTGCCTGTCTCATGCGTTGCTGCAGTATCCTTGGCAGTTGCGGATGCGCCTTGTGCTGGGCTGGTGGTGCTGGAGGTGGCGCCGGCCTTTGATGATAAAGAGATGCCTGCTGCTGCTGCTGTTGTTGCAATTGTTGCTGCTGTTGCATTTGCTGGTGTTTGCCCATAGACGAGGCAGCCGAGGAGGAACCGGAAGCCCCTGAAGTGGAGCTAGTCGAGGCATGAGATGTGGTCGATCCTGTGGCCAATTTGGTGGGCAGTCCACCGCTGGCTGCCGGCGAGGCCATGGCTCTGGAATTAACCACACCTACACTTCCACCTCCTCCCCTGAGGCATCCGTCATCTTGGGCAACGCCACTGGCGCATAGCAGCCATCGTCCTCTTCGTCGGAGGACAATGAATTAGCATCCGATGGCGTGCGTGACCTCGAAGGCGGCGACATGGCATCCTGCTCCTGCAGGAAAACCCGGAATCCCTGTATGACTCATTCAACGCCCACAGCTGCGACAACAGCGACAGATCCAACTGCCTCAGGCCGTACATCTCCCGCCGTAAGATGGCCAACTGGTTGTCGATGGTCGACGAGGTGGCGCCGGTGCTGCTCGAGCTGTTGGTGGGCGTATGTGCGGCTCCCGCGCTGTGTGTGGAGGAGGCACGACTGTGCACAGACTCCCTGTCGCTGAGCGACTCTTGCGTGGACGACAGACTGCCGTGCCGCTGGCTGTGGCCGTGTCCATTGTAGCTGCGATTCCTGGCCGCCTGGGATGAGGTGGAGGGGCCCAGATAGAGTTCACCGGCAGCTGCGGTCAGAGCGGCCACACTGACGGAAGCCGGCGAGGCAGTGCGTGGCATCATCAGTGGGGCAACAGGCGGAGAAGCAACCGAGGAAGCAGCCGCGGCGGCGCTTAGGCTTTTTGGCAGTGGGGGAAGACCCGCCGGCAGGTGCGGCTGGGTATCGCTGTTCTCCATTCTCATTCGCGACGACTGGACAATGTTTACTTGGTTTCTGCTGTTACTGCTACTGCTGCTGCTGCTGCTGTATTTAACGATTATGCTAGGACGTTGGTTGGTTGGTGTTTAATGTATGTTGAACTTCCAGCTCTGGCGGCACATGGGACACTGTTTGTTCAACGGTTGCAGGTTCAGCCACTTGACGATGCAGTGCATGTGGAAGCAATGGAGCAGACACCCCACACCAGCGGGCAGTCGTCACCGGGCAGCGCGCACTCCGGGCAGGTGCTCTCGAAGGACATGCGACAAATTCCGCAGTTCTCGTCATTCGCTATCCAACGCCAAGTTGCAACTCCCGTCCATGACTTGATTGTCACTTTCATTTTGCGCACATTTGCTTACACTTGGATTGCTCCTCTCGCCGTCGTCGTTCCTTTGCGTTGCATAAATATAGTCCCTTACTTCGGTTAACTGATTTTTCCGGGGCTCGCTTTTTCGCAAAATATTGCCTTTTTTCTTGAGGTTGCTGCTACTGAAAATAGGTCGAGCGTAGTGGTGGCCGAAACGGTGACTGCGCCTATCGATAGAGCGGATCGCTTTGGAGACGGCACTCTTTCGTGAGTGCGATGTGTTACGATGGCTGTTGAGTGGCAACCTATATTTTTTTATTTTGATTTAATTACGGTATTGTTGCGTTGCATGAATGTGACTTTTAACGATTATTATAATGATTTGAATTTTGTGTTTTGCTGAAAATACCAAATATGATTTAAATCATTTAGTAGGCTTGTCTTTTAAGTAGGAATTTTAATTCATCGGTATTGGATATTTATATTTGTGTTCTTAAAACTATTAAAAATATATATTTCTGATATATTTACATTAAAAGAATGGAAGATTACATATTTATAGACCTTTTGTTTAATAATAGTATTTTTAGCAAAATAGTTTAGCAAATATCGATATTTTAATCGATATATCATTGCTTTAGTAGTTATCTGACTTTGGCGGGCGATATTTAAATTGAGTATGCTTTTTGAAAAGTAAACATAATAAAAACTAAAATATATGTATAGACTAAAAACATTTAAATTAATTAAGATGAAAGTATTCAGACAGTCACAGCAAACCAGATGTAGAACTAGTCTCAATCAAAAGTCTTAATCTGTTCTGTGACTTTCTTGTTTAAGGTTTTATCTTTTTGTTTTATCTCTTAGGCTTCTAGGCCACTTGGTCAATTTTAGGTGTATTTTTTTGTAATTAAAAAAATGATTTTCAATATCATGGTCATAGCACGAGAGCCATTAATATAATTTTTTTTGGTTATCGTCAGGGACAGGTCGCTGGAGCCCAGGTCAGATCTTTGGAGAGCACAAATGCGACACGAACGTCACGTGTACGAAGCGAATGACTTCCGAACCCAAAAACCGACGGCTTTATGCTCATGCTCCATCGGATTTGCGGGGCGCTCTTGGTGCTTGGTGCTCCCCAGCGTTGTTGGGGCTTGGAGTTGTTGTCGCCTCCGGTTTGTTCGCTTTTCAGTCAGCCGACGATTGTTTAACCCACCAGACGTGCGCCAATGCTCCGATCCGCAGAGCTTTGCTCGGTTTAGTGTCAGTTTCGCGTTTTCGAAGCGTGTGATCACGCAAAAAGTTTGTTTCGTGTGTTTGTGACGCAGTTCAAGCTCGGTTCTAATTAATCCAAGAATTAAAGTTTAAATAAAAATCAATATTAAACTTGAGAATAAGCTGCTCCAAAAATATTACTGTGAAGTGAGTGTAAATAAATCAAAATACAACAAATACATATTTGTGCGTTGCCCAGAACCTGTAATTAAAAACGCACTTGAATAAACCAATACAGGCATAAATAAAAATGTGAACAACAAAAAAATAAAATAAAAATAAACCAATAATAAACTGTGCAACACGTTGTTGACCCTGAGGCAGAGCCGCGTGATTTTCCAAGAACAACTATATACAAAAGGCAAAGGCAATTTTTTAGCATAAGAATTTATGTTGTTTGCAGTTTATTGCACTCTTGTCTCTCTCTCTTTCTCTCTGTTTCTCACTCATCTCTCCTTTGGAGATGGAAAAAACCGTTTTCGCCTTGCAAGGAGGTTCCGGTTTTCTGGTCCGTCCCGGGATTTTCTCGAATTCTGCGCAATACAAACTGACATAGACATATGTAATGCGTCTAAAAAAAAAAAAAAAAACGTGTGCAATGTGTCTTGTCTGCGCTTTCATTACAAACGTAATTCGAAATTTAATTTCAATATTTGCAAACTATTTTCGCTTGATTTGTGTCTCATGTCATTTAATGTTTGCTCATAAACAAACAATTATAAAGACGGGATATTTCAAAACGCAGACAATTTAACAATTCATCACTCGTTCAAAGCGAAAATAAACAATTTACATCAAATAAATCTTTGGGGATGCGAATTGGATACATATGACAGTGGGGGTGACTCATTTAATTACAATTCTTGGAATTTTTTTTAAAAAGGCGCTGATTCAAATGAATTCTTGTCAGTTATGTGTCACGTGCTAGTCATGTCTCAGATTGGAAACCACCAAACTCAAGCTTAAATAAATTATAAATAAAACAATAAAACTACAAAACTTTATGTTTTAGGGGTTAATATTTATTTTATTTAACTCCTTATCTATCCCTTATCAGTGGTATATTTTACTGTTTTAAAAGGTTTTAACCCTTAATTCGCTTAAGTTGACCTCTGAATTTTACTTGTGAATTTTAAACAACCTGCGTTTGATGCTGCAAGGCCGAGGTAGACCTGACAGTTGTGGCTTTTAGGTTTAACTTTATGGGCTACAGCATGTATTTACTTTACTTATTTTATAATTTGTAAATCATTCATTAAATGAAGTAAGAATGAAGCATACTTCCAAACCTATCAAGATCCGACTTCTAAATAAAAGCAAAAGCTTCTCAATTACTTCTAGCTTATCATTGTAGCTCGACACAATTTTGATTGATTACCCAAATCCCAGCGATTTGACATCTACTATCGTTAACATTCCAAAACCTCCTTTCGTCATATCTTATCTGTATATCGTAAACACACAAAAAATAGTCCATATCATAAATGATACCTTACTATATACTATACATAATATAAGCTCCAAAACGGATTGTTCATCACAGGCCTTTTGAAATCGAATTATTGCATTAGCTTTCTAATGGCGAAATGTTTAATGACAAAACTGTCTGCGACTTGCATTATCGACAAAGTCCCCGGAGACGGGACAATCTGACTACACACTCCTACGTATCTTTAGTGCTCCCTCACTATATAGCCATGAACAATCAAGTGATTACTGATAAAATTGAAGCTAAAATGGTCTGACAAAACAAAATACTTGGCACCGGGATTTCACTCGGACACAGATGTGTTTATTATATACAGAGTATATATTTTAAGGAAGCATCTTAAACGGGGGAGACGTGCACAGCATTCATGATTCAAATAAAAATTACTTATAGACAGGCAAACACACCTGTGACTCACCTTTCTGACCACCTGAGAGAGAACCCACAGAGATGTATTAACGCGGAACTGAAAAGATCGCAAAATGAGAATGGAAACCGATTAAAGTGAGTCGAGGATCGCCTACATAAATTGCATTCATTCATAAAATAAAAAAAAAAAAACAAAAGGAATTTAATGTCATGGGAATATCTGTGCAATTCTAGAGAACTGATCTCAGCTGATCTCAGATCTTTTCCGCTTTAATTTCAAGGCTTTTTCCCGCGAACTTCAATTAAGGGGTAAACACTTTAAGGGAACCTTTGTTACTAATGGCAGTCATTATCTCAATGCAGCTGGAAAAATGCTACTGCGTAGAGCGTTTTCATCAGGTATTTAATTGATTACGGTAAATGTTGTGTATCAACAAGGTGATAAAGTCGATCTCAATGAAAACCTGTGAGTAATTTCTGTAATAATTTATCTAAAGGTTTTTATAAACCATTCATAAAAATTGCATCGTTTATGATTCTCATAAAATAGTACAATCGAATCCGCAATTCTTAAACAATTAAACTATTAAATCAAAATGCGACCTTACCTTACAGTCTTCTTATTTATAGGATTCATTTGAATATATTTTAATTTAATTAATATTAAAAATGTAGGAAATAGTCATTGATTGAAAGCAACTTTCAAACAAATTTATCATTTTAATTTCCATGTTCAAATCAAATTTTAGTCAGCTAGTTAATAAAAAATAAATATCTTTCCATTTCGAAATGATTAATACATGCCATCATTTTGTTATTATTATTAAAATGGTTAGTACCACAGAAAGTCGAACTCTGGACGAACACGATTTGAAAATATTTGTGAGCGCCATTACGCTGTAGATACTAATTTATAAGATCAACATTAAGCGCAGCGCGTGCTCTAAAAAATATATATAAAAATAATTAAAAAGAAATCGAGAACAAATCTAAAAGTGCAAAACCATAAAAATAAGAAAGGAAATTAACTTCGGGAAGCCGAAGTTAATATACTCTTGCATTTGCAATGAAATTATGGAATCAAAACGGAAATCGATATTTATTTGACAATTTTGTCGACAAATCAAAGTTTAAAAAACTCACAACTAAGCCAAATATGTATTAATTTTAATCGGAAAGCATTCCGTTAAAATTTTTTTTTAAATTAAAATTTTGATCATTTTTTTTATTCAATTTTAAGGATGTAACCCCTTATAAAATGTTTAAAATTTTGAATAAAATTAATTGTACCCGGTCATAGCTAGATCAACTTGGCTTTTGATGCTGATCAAGAATATATATGATTATAGGTCGGAATGACTCCTTCAATGTTTTACCAGCTTCTGACTAAAAGTTTGATACCCTGTAAGGGTATAAAATACCGCTCTAAAGGGGAGGGGATTCGCTGCCAAGAGAAACTCGATTGCAATGGCAATCCAACTCGATCGAAATACAAGACACTCGCTGATGTCTGATGCCTGTCAAAGCCTAAAAAACTGAATAAAAAATAACTGAATCGAGGCCAATGCACGCCACTTGTCGTCTGGGACTTTTAGTTTGCCATGAACCAAACGTGGCATTATATATACATATATATATTACATATATGTATAAACATATATACTTGTATGCAAGCCCCAAAGCCTGACTGCGGTTAATGACACCTGCCATCGATCTTTCGATCTTTCTGAGCAGTTACAAAGGCAAAACTCCAGCATCGCCAGATGCGTGTGAACGATTTCATTTGCGGGTTATTGTAATTTACACTTTATGTTTAAATCAAAAATCTACAACAAATAAACATCTGTTGGTTTTCTGGGCGGGGTAAATATATAATTTACCATCTCAGATAAATAAGTTCAAGCATTGTAAATCAGATCAAGATATTCACTAAGTGATTATTAAGCTTAATTTATTGTGACGAATTTTCACACTTCTAAAATTAAGGAAAGTTTTGGGAAATACAAAAAAATGAATCGAATTTGGAGTTAATTAAACATAATTTTAATTATAATGGAACTTAAAAAGCATTGTTCTTTATATTAAATGCTTTTTGCAAAGGATATTTTGCACAAACCAAGGCAAATACAAATATATTTTAAAATTTTATTTTTTAAAGCTTAATTATTCAAATATTTAATACAGTAACAAATACTTTAAAATCAAACAAAATATATCTAAAAATTGTTAGAATTTCCGCTAGTAAAGCATTATATTTTCCTGGAAACCATCTTTCAACTTTATTTCATTTATTCAACAGGTAATTTTAGCTTAGTCAATACTTCGAACAATGCCAGCTCAATTAAATAAAGCGGGGAAACTCAATTTGAATTTAAAGTTAGCAAGCTAACGATAAAATGGAATAATAAATAAAATAATATAATGGATACAATTCAAGTTTCCCCTTTCCTGTAATGCAAGCTAGATTTAACATTTTTTTATTGTAGCTTTTGAACTTTTCGGTGATTTTCCAGTGAGAGATTCTAGATAATACTCATTTCGCAGTTTATTATATTGTATATATATGTATACTTTTTATGACCAGAAAACTCGTTTTGTTGTCGTAAAGTGTTTTATATGGGAGGAAAGGGGAGTATGATGCCGCTGACAGGCATATAAAAAGTTAATAAAGTGAAAACCATAAGATACTAAGATAGTTATTGCACATGGGAAGTTTCAAGTTTTCAAAAGATTTAATTATAGTGCAAAAATATCAAACCCAAAATAAGATTAAAAATTAAAATCGCATCGAAAATCCCTGTTTTTGGTTATAATACGTTTCGGAGGTAGGATATATGAAAAACAAAGTATGCATATAAATTTCAGTTTCGTTTTTATTGCTTTATTTGTTTAAAGAATTCACCGCATTGCATGCATCGCTTGAGTGACTCGTGAAATTATATATTGTAATCCGAATGTTATTGTTCGCGATTTTGGCTCTGTATTTGTTTTTATTTTATTTTTTACGTCGTACGGAAGTTATTTGGCCGCAAATTTTTACCTGTGGCATGCGATTTCATTTATTTGTCAAATCAGCGGAAAGCGATTTTGTGGCCAGTTCAAAGGTCAGCAATAAAAACGACAAACCATGAGTGTTGAATGTATGGAACAATTATTTGAACGAGATTTATATCTTAACGTTTTTTTTTTACAGACCATTAAAAAGGTTAAGACACAATCACTTTTGCTGAACACTTTTAATAATTATTATTTTAATGACAACGCTTGGAAAAGATTTACAATTAAGAAGCCTGTCTAGATTAATTAATTTTTTCATTACAAATAAGTATTATTTTTTCATGAGAATTTGCAAAAGTTGTTTGACTTGTTTCTTGGCTTTTAAAATTAATGTCAAGTAAGTTTTTAATTGTAAGTTGGGGTTTTTTGTAGAGATCTTAAAAGTGTTTTTTGATGCAAAGTTTATAATTAATGAAGAGGATTATTTATGGTTTATTTGTTCGGGTTTTACTGTCATTTAAAGTCATTTAATTCTACTTGGTAATTTCTGTAATGAATTTCTATTTAGTATACCTGTAATAAATCCTATTAAAGATTTAAACGTTTTGCTAAGTTATTATTATTACCTTTTTACCCATTTTTATTAACATTTCTCAACCTCCTCTCGCTTTTGTTGTATAACACAATTGGAGTTTAAATGAGCTTCACGCACAAGACGTGTAAACATCAACAACAAATTGCATTACATGGCTAACAGTAACATTAACAAAGGCAACAGCAACTACAAAAATGAGAGCTATTCATTTCATTTAAGTGCAAATGATTGACATTCAATTACCGATCGGCCCTACCTCACTCCCCTCACTCCCCCTCTGCACATCATCTTACAGACTTTAATGAGGTTGAACGCTTTTCAATTCAACTGTCGCCGAAAGCTATGAATGGTATATACATATATATATATGTATGTATATATATATTTACGGCTTTATCAAAAGACAATCAATTGATCGATTGTCGCAGTTGGGTCTCACATGATACGCTGTGCCCTTTGAACTTTGACAATCGTATTGTTTTGTTTCCTTTTTTTCGGTTTGAACTTCATTTTACAATGTGCAAAGATTTGCTTTTCTTAGTTTTTGTGTTAAGCTTCACACCTTTGAATCGAATCAAAATAACACAAACAATTAACTTATCTGCTCTAGAGATTAGCTTCCAAGTATGAACTTGGTAGATAAACTCAAAACCAAGAAAAAAAGGCCCAAAAAAAAAACAAGAAACTTGTTGGCAAGGTTGAAGGGAAATATTTTATTTTTTAATAAAGAATAAAGATTTTGGAAATAATAAACAAAGAAAGGGAGCTAAGAGAAGCCCTTGCAGTTACTCATAGTATCATAGATTCATAACTAAGCCAAAGATAAATAGATCCCATTGTATTGGATTTAATAAGGATGTTAATTATTTATTTGGGTCAGAGGGTAATCACTAGCACCATCACCATCACTGCAGATGTTAACAGGGCGAAAGCCGCGGACTGAATGAGGCCAGAGCTGCCGACGAGCCTGTATTTATAGTCCCCGGGAGAGAACAGAGAAAGTGAGAGCGAGAGCACTAGAGAGAGAGTCATGCCTCTAGAGCTGCACAGAGGCTAGAGGGAAAGAGCTATCTCTAGAGAAAGAGCGAGAGAGAGAGCGATAGAGGCAGAGGGGGGGGAAATAAATAGAAACAAATAGAAAATAGTTTTTATGGAGCCGTCCGATTCTAATAAAATTAAAATTACTGCTTCACTGCGTTGCCAACTTCTGACTTAAATTATAATATCTGCAAAGCTATAAAATACAAAATAAAATTACAGCAATTAATTTAATATAATTCTTTATAAGTAATAATGACGTGTCCTTAGATTTTATGACAATTTTAAATCAGATACTAGCTTTTTATTTAATTTCTTTAACAACTTTAAGGTATAAAGATACCTCTAAAAGAGCAAACCAGGCCATCTACCAAAACAATTATCTAACAAAACAAGCTGACTTTGATTAAAAATAAATATCTTAAACTAAATGTTTCCCCAAAGCAGATTCATTATGCGATTTGAACAAATGACATTGGTTTAACAATTACGATTCCTACATTCGGTTTGTTGAACTTTTTCGCAGGGGTTGACACAATATCAGCTCATTCGAAATCAATTAGCGATCGGTTGATAAGAATTTACAAAACTTAAATCACTGATAAGAAATATAGTATCGGCTGCCATGAGCCACAGGAAATAACTCTGAAAGGGGATTGAAAATCACTCAAGAATAATACTCTGGACGGCCCAAAAGTATGCCAAGACTCAGGAACCTTGAGCAAGCTACCTGTGTAATTCCACAAAACCCTCGCCCCACCCCCCCTGTACCCCTGCCACCCACTCTCACCTGTGGAGGGAATGTGGCCTCAATTTGCAGAAGCGCTTATCGTCCAAAGCGTTAAGTAAACTCAGGGAACAAACACGAGTACATGTGTAGTAAGGTTATCGCTGTGTGTGCGCGGTGCAAGTTTAAAAAGTTCCAATTACTCCAACAACACACACGTACACACACTGCAAGGCTTGAGCAGGTAGCAGGTGTCACACACAACAGGCAACAGGTTACAGTGGGGCAAGTGCAAGCGAAAGAAAGTAAATAATTGACTCAAAGACACGCCCATATTTTAAAGATTTAATGAACGTGTAGCATTGTTGAGGTACTTAAATCATTCTTTTATGATATGCATATGTTTTGTAAACAAAAGAGTTATCACAATGCTGCATAACAGATCTAGATAATCAGAACACTTATGTAAATATATATAGTACACAACTGTGCTGATGAATAGGCCATATTGACTCTATAATAACATTTTATTAAGAGATAAAAATAAAATTTATGGCTAAACAATTTCAAAGAATACTTTAAATATTATATTTAATTTTAGGTTTTGATACGCCATGACTTTAAAAACAATCAGCTGGTGAAAATATTGATTTTATACAAATAAATCAAAAATTAACATCATTTCACGTATGAGTGATATTTTGTGAACTATTTCCATACATATTACTCATACGCCATGAGTGACAATCAAATATTTTTCATGGTATTTCTAAGCTGGTAAAAATATTATCTCATACAAACAAATTAAAAATTAACATCATTCATAGTCAGAAAGGCGAGACCAAAAAATCAACGGGACGTATGAGTGATATTTTGTGAACTACTTCCATACATATTACTCATACGCCATGAGTGACCAACCTTAACACTTTAATACAATTAAATGTGCAATAAATTGGGTAAATTATTATAGTATTGTTTTTAATTAAAATACTCATAAATTGGTTTTAGTGAAAGGATTTTTTTTATAAAACAACAAAATCTTACAAAATTCAAGATAGCTTGAATGGTCATAATTATTGAAAATTCGTGCAATTTAAATCTGATAATGTTGGGAACGCTTCTGGCCACCTGACCCACAGTGCGAGACAAAAGACAGAGACAGAGATAGAGGTGCTCTCACCCAGTTAGAGAGGTAGAAATTGTCGCTAAGGTTTTACTCCCGCTGTTGGTAATCTATCATGTGCGATCGATCAATGGAGCTCCTCTCTCGCTCTCAGTCGCCCCACTCTCACAGCCGGCTGTGAAGATGAGTTAACAAATCGAATGGGTAGAGAGTGAGAGCCGAGGCAACGGTAGCTTTAGCTCCCAAATCAACTTACTTTTTTTATCACACACACATTCGCAATCAGCGGCGGGAGAGAGCGGCCAGGCCATCAGAGAGAGAGAGAGTGGGAGAGAGCGAGATACGATTTGTGGGGCTTGTGGGGCACTTCACTTCATTTACCGATAAAACGCCAAGCTGTCTCCACCGCCGCTCTGCGCTGCTCTGCTCCGCTCCGCTCCGATACTCTGCTCACGAATGCCTGGAACGAGTCACACGCACCCAAAGTCACATAAATTTTACTTTTCCTTAACTTAGCCCAAAAACCACCAAGCAAATATCAGAAATTAATCAAAGCATTTGTTACAACACAAAAACGGCAACGCATTCGCTTTGATTCGATTTGATTTCGATTCTCTTCTTTTGGCGGAGAGACACACACGAAAAAAAGTCGGGTAAAGAAAGAGGAAGCAACTACAAAAAATGTGCCGCTGCTGTCAAAAGTGAGTAAACGTTTTTTATATATTTTTTTTATTTGTTATTTCGCTTCTGTTGTTGTTGTTGTTGCTGTTTTTGGGTACAATTTTCCCAGGTATTGCTGGCTCGGCCAGCAAAATAACTTGGCTAACATTCCGTATTGCGTTTTTCCTTTATTTTGCAGCTGTTGGGAAGATTTCTATTGGAACTGCTTTGAGGAGCGCTTCTGCTACGACGAATCGATTGGTAAGTAAAATTCAACTGCTTTTATAGTTTTTATTTTTTTTGTTGCTTTAATTGGTCAGTTGACGGTTACCTGTGAGTTGAGTACACACTCGACTCATTCACTCACTCACTTATTTAGCTCACACAAACAACACACACACTCACACAGGCGCATAGAGCTCCAGGCGTAGATCTTGAAACGCACAATGCGATGCGATGAATTTTTGCGAGATTTAACGTGTTCGGGTTTTGAAATGAATACGAAACGAGAAGGAAAAATAACAACAATTGAATGGGAAACATATAAATTTTATGGATTTTTTTTTAAATATTTAACAGGCTATTTTCAAAACTAGTATGTGCATTCCAGATACAAACATTTCGAATAAAATAAATTCACATTTGTACTGCAGCATTCTCACATGAATCTGTCACATAAACAAGTATTTTATTTAAAGTAGTATTTAATTTCAAACATAAACAATCGAAATTGCGCTGACACAATGGAAAATTTAGCTGAAGAAAAGTATTTACAAAAAAAAAAATGATTAATATGCTTTATTACGAAATAATGGCAACAGACTTATACAATGAAATATTAAACCATATTTGTGAATTTTAAGGCTATTGAATTTCGTTTAAAGTTAATGAAGAGATCAAGTTATAAGTTAAACTTTTGTATACTTTAAATAAGAACATTTCCATACATTCAGATTTTTAAAATAAAATTTCTTATTGAATTCTGATTTTTAAAACCCCTGCAGGGTATTATTTTAATCAAAAGCTTGTAACGCAATGGAGAAATCGTTTCCGAACCTATAAATCATATATATTCTTGATCAGCATCAATTGCAGAATCGATCTAGCTATGTCCAACAAAAATTAATTTTTTCAAAATTTTCAAAATTTATAAGGGACTACATCGTTAAAATTGTCAGAAATTCATAAAAATTAAAATTTTTTGTAAATTTTATATTTTGTATGTATGTAGATTTATAAACCAAATAAAAAATAACATAGGTAAACTTCAAATTAAAGTTTTTTGACTGATTTATCAAATTTTAAAATCTTGATTTGTCGAAAAAACTTTACAAAATGTCGATTCAATGAATCGGAATATTTTAAGCTTAGTTTTGATGGATTTCCGATTTAAACCTAAATCCAATGAAAACTGCAAGAGAATATAATTACGACTTCCGAATTAGTTTATTTTTTTGTATTAAATATTATTTGTATTTATTATTAATTATTATTATTCTCCCCCTTTTTGTGTATTTTAGCAAACTACAATCCCGAGGACGACGAGGACTACTTGGCTGCTCAGAAAAATGGCCAGATTATTGGCCGGATACAACCCGCATCCGTGGATAATAATAATTCGCTGACGGTGCCCCAACCGATTTGCGATCAGCCTCAATTGAGGCACGGCAACAACTCGGGTCTGGGCCTGAGCCTAATGAGGTACTAATTGACAGATCAAACTGAGAGATTCGACCAAAAACGAGCCAAAGATTCCATTTCGCACTTTGTTTGGACGACTAACGATTAGCGATTAATTGGCAAGACGAGATGTCGTGATGGCGGACTCTATTGGCTTTCATAATTTACATTTATATGTCTTTCTTCTTTTATTTTTGCTACCTTTCCATTAGCGCCAAGATCCATGAGGAGGACTATCGTCGTGAGACGCAGATCAATGTGCCCACATTGGGACCAGAGATATTGGCCGTGTTTGCCAATTCGCAGATCTTCCAGGACCATCAGCCGACCAAGTTGAATCGCATCAGCACAAAGACCTACTTGGCCGGGATACATTCACCGAATCGGGAAATGCCCACAACGCCGCGTCTCAGTGACCAGGAACGCTTGCTGCGACGTCTGGAAGGTAATGATGGCCCCAGTGGTGCACATACCCCACTTTTGGGTGGTGCTGGCAGTGGTAAAGCCAGCGGCAAGAGCACCCGCAGCAGCAGCATCGTCTCCAGCGGTGTGCCCAAGGTCAAGTTCTATCTGAACTGAGATGATCTTTGATCTGTGATCTGGGTTTTCTTGGGCTCGTGAGTTCGATGGGTACTTGCAGTATTTGTGCCAAAGATTGTGGAACTCTCATCACTTATATAAACAAAAGAAAATTAAGAGAGAGAGAGAGTGACCAATTATCGCCAAAATGTGACTTAATATTATTAAACTTAAATTAGTTCTAAGTGTTGACCGATATCGCCACAGCCACAACGATATAAAAATATTCGAAAGCAATGTCATAAGGCAGCTTGCTGGTATTTAATATTTTAGTATTATCTAGACCTTTAAGTAGCCGTACTTAAGTTAACTTAAGAGTATTTTATTTAAGTCTTAATTGTTGGACCTTGTAAAGTGTTTAGTCCTAACTGAGATTTGATAAAACAGTTTCATAAAGTTTTTACAAAAAAGAAATACATATAAATATTGCATGGGTTTCACTTTAGTTAAGGTACTTAAACTATATTTATTTTATATAAACTAATAACTCTTGGCTTGCTTATAGTAATTCTGATTCTACATTTGAATATTTAGAAAGATAGATCTTCTTTCCATTAATTATTCATCTCTTAGGTCATTTTTTTATATTTTGTGACTCATTTTTTAGCAAAGTAGTAATGTGTGTACTTTGTACAAATTATTTGTTTTTGTGTCAAGTTGGCATTACCCAACAGCTTTTAACTATTTACGTCAAATTGTGTTCGATTGGATAAACTTACATTTACTTAGACGTTTTTAGAAAGAGTTTTTAAAGGCCAAAATAAAATATCGTTGGGTAGGAAATAAAAAGCGTAACACTCTTGCTATTTTAATAACTAAAACATCACCAAAAACCGCATAAAAATGCTTAAGATGATATTAAATCTCCAATTAATTATGATTATTTTGTGAATTTGCAGAATTTTTCCGCAAAACTTGACTCATCTGAGACTCTGAAACAGGGCGTTGTTTAATTAACTCCATTAGCCATTCATTTATTTAAACTTTCAACAAGGAAGAACGGAAAAAGAATAAATCTGGATCTGAAGTTAAATTTAATTAACAAGATTATTTCGCACTGACGCAGCTCCCAGCACCCGACGACACCGGTTACATCTGGAGCTTAAGTACACATTTGGTTTTTTTTTTTATAAACCTACGTCACTATAGCTTATCGGATTTGGAAGAAGATAAAACCATAGGAAATCCATTTCCAGATGATTTTACTATCAAATTATTTATCGTAATTCAGGCAAATTACGCAAATTATTCCAACAACTGAACGAAACACCGAAGCCAATTAGTCAAATTTCGATTTTCTTATCAATGACAAAGTATATACATTTGTTAACAACAAACAAACACAGTTTGTATATGAATATTTATACCTACATGTTGACAAGTTTGGCCAAAATATGCATATGTGTATAATTTTTTGTTTTTGTATAGATAAGAGGCTAGACGAGTTGGTAACTATTGATTCCTCAGTTTTTCCCGAGCTGATAAAGCCAAAAATGCAAAGAAACCATCAATGGGGTTCAGTTGTTTACTTCTTATATAATTTTCATTTTAGTAATTTTCTTTATAATTTTCTTTATAAATCTTGGAAAACCACCTTAGAAATATCATTAATAAACCGTCATCAGATATCTCAAAAGTCGTGCTGCTTTTTGTTTTGCCTCTATTTAGACTTTTTTTATTTTGTACTTGTATGATCATTGATTGTACATTTGTATGATATCTTGACGACATTTAATTCATCACGTTTTATCGCTTTTTGCAAGTTGAGGTCTTGTGCACTGAGAGAAATGTTTATGGCCCAATTTGGTGTGACTGGATAATTTCCCCACCAGTGCCATATAATATATACTGGTAGTTTCGTCAGAATGACTACCCGCTTATAAAGCTGACGTCCATAATCATTGGTTCTGGCGAAATCTAAAAAGTCAGCTGGAAGTGTTCCATTAGACGTGCCCACAAAGGCTAATCGACCCTCTGTTTGCGAATCTACAGCACAATTCATAATTCTAGTAGTCATTAGTTATTAAATAATATAATTTTTAATTAATTAAAACAGCATAAGATAGCTTTTAAATTGTTTCTTTTATAATTATGATTAAAAACTTAGAAAGCTTTGATTTATCCTTTAACCAAATACAAGATATATTTTAATTATTTATTAAATGGCTTTAAAAACCCTTCTTTTGAAAGGAATTTAAAAATAAAATAATTATATCTTATCTTAAGAACATTACCTCTTACCTAAGATACACATTTCGCAAATATACCACCTTCCTTTAAGATATAAAAATATTCTTAACATCATAAATATTGACTGACATCAAACTGATTACGTTAATTTCTTAACTGATAAAGAAAACGTGCGGTTTTAATGATTTGATGTGGGACTTTTAATGCATATCTTGCTAAATAAGCGGTTTGGCTAATAAATGACATTCTATTCTTAGATGCAAAGCCATAGCACGAATATAGAAAGAGAATTAAATATTAAAGAATAAATACTACAAAAATAATTAATGGCTAGAACGGTAAATGTCATTCATATCCTTTGATTTTTGATTTATTTAATATCCTAATGCTACAAGTCTAATTCTTTTAAATTATCCCTTAACAAAACTAGTTTAACTGTAATAATTATATATATTTTCTTCTGCTTAATTCCAATGTTTTACTTGAGCCTTGTTTGGGGCCAATATTTTATCTGCTCATATCTTACTATCTGTCATGAACTCAACCATTATCTTATTTGTCAAGCTTTATGCGATTTACTTGTCATCTGCGTGTAGCGTTAATATTAAAGCCATGTCCATTATTATTACTTTAAAAGAACATTATTATTAAAAAGAATTTAATAACAGAATCTGTACAATCTTGAGTAAAGGTAATTATTTTTCCAAGTAGAGTTTATCTGCAGTTCCATTATCACGCTGCTTTGTTAACGCTATAATTAAAATAATTTTGATTTATTGATTTATTATTAAACGAAATCAGAATTTCATCTTTGATTGTTTTTGTTTGTTATTAAGTAGAGTATTGTTGTAGGTTTTAATAGACATAAGAATTTATTTGCTACAGAAAAATGTATTAGTTATATTTTAAATACTTTATTATTGCAGTAAAATATATATTTGCTTGTACTTAACTTAAATTCTCCCCTATTTATTACAGGAGATGCCATCGATTCCAAGACAGTATCACCTGAGAAGCGAATCACCTTCACTTTGGCTCCCAGTTCCCCCGAAAGCTCTCCCTCGGGCAGCCAGACCACCCTCAGTCCAAGAAGTTCGAGGCCATTGCCGAGGAGGAGAAGGAGGACGACAAGGCCGATGACCAGCAGGAAGATGAAACTGTGGAGGAGGTGGTCCTGCGACCTCGTCTTATCGATCGACATCCCCATTTGTTGGCCAATCCAAGTGGGCTGACCACCACACCGAAACGTATCCTGCGTTCCGCCAAGAGTGTCCCTCACATGAATGTCCGTTCGGCGGCCAGTGAGACCGATATATTCTCCATAAGTGGCACTGTGACCGGCAGCAACCAGATCAGCATGACACCGGAGGTGCCATCAATCTCGTTTAGCAATCTGCCCAAGAACTACGAGGATACACCCACCATTGAGAAGTATCGAGTGTTCCAGAGTCTGTACTCCATCCAGACAGCGAATGCAGCCCGGGCCACTCAAGATGATTACTCCATGCCGCGTATTTCGTCGATCTGCCATGCTGATGACCCAGAGTTCAGAGGTGCTGCCGGGTGCCTCTTCCTGGCCTCCATGTCGCCATCGATGGCCTCGTCATCCGCTCGCCAGGCTCCTCCAAGGATGAGATTCGGCGACCCGAGAAGGAGAAGAACAAGCGTCTCCAGAGGTTGCGTGGAAATCTGCCGCCTTTACTCATCCATTCCGTGTCCTTCAAGCGCAATCGCGACGATGGCAAGCAGGTGGACTAGCACACCTGTGAAATACCATAAATTTACCTAATTGTTAATATTTTCGTATACACTTTAAATGTTTTTAAATGTCTTAGTATTAGTCCATGCGTCCACCCACTCAGTATTCGGTTGTACTTCATTTTGCGTTTATGATTGATATTCCAAACTTATTGTACTTTTACCCAAATAAAGTCCTTTAAAAAAAGGGATATACAGAATTTTTTATATTTTATGAAATCTATGAAATTGTGATGGAATTTAGGTATGATAATGCTCTTAAAATAAAAGAGAAATTTGTGCAAACACTGTTAGCACAGAAAAGAGAAAAAAATGATTCCATCGAATCTCCCCGACGGGGAATTGAACCCCGGTCTCCCGCGTGACAGGCGGGGATACTAACCACTATACTATCGAGGATATGCTTACACGCATCAAAATTGCTCATGCGCAACAGAGCTTGCTATCTTCCTTCTCATTCCCTCGAATTTGTTTGGACGTATGTAAAATGAGGTGCTCGGGCTCAGTAGAATTTTGGCAAACGACATCAAATCCTCGATAGTATAGTGGTTAGTATCCCCGCCTGTCACGCGGGAGACCGGGGTTCAATTCCCCGTCGGGGAGAATGTTGAAACATTTTTTTCAATATTAATTATTAAAACTTTTATTATTATTTATTTTTTTTTTTTCAAATTATTTTAACTTTGTTGAATAAAATAACATAAAACCTTAAATTAAAACAGTTACTCATTAAAACCATATTGTATATATATTTTGTTTACTAAGTTATAAGAGACAGTTAGGGTTTTTTTAATGAAATTTAAAAGAGATAATTATAGCTAGTTGTTTTTAAAAAAAAAAACTTTTGAATAAAAAAAAAAAAAAACTGTTTTACAACATTCTCCCCGACGGGGAATTGAACCCCGGTCTCCCGCGTGACAGGCGGGGATACTAACCACTATACTATCGAGGATGTTGATTTGGCGTGTCCAATTAACCATTCGAACTTCCGTAGTTATTTTTTCTCTATCGACAATGTTTCATTCCACACTTTCATTATACTTCTTTATAGAACGTAAAAATATAGACAAGGAAAATTGATCTTTTTCTCTTATTTAATTTTGGCTCAATCACCCGCATCCTCGATAGTATAGTGGTTAGTATCCCCGCCTGTCACGCGGGAGACCGGGGTTCAATTCCCCGTCGGGGAGTAAGGATATTTTTCCATATTTTTTTTTAAATTAATAATAATTTCACATTTCCACTGGTTTTATTATGTTTTCCTTTATGGTTTAAAATGTTCTGAAGATCTTATTGAGCTTAGCCAACAGTAAGTTATCAGAGACTAGTGAATGGAAAATCTGTATATATATTATATAAGCTTTAATTAACAATTTTATAACTAATAATTTTAACTACACTTAAGTTAAGTTACATAATTAAAAGAAACAATTCATGCGATTTTAAATATATGGTATTTAAATGGTATTTTTGAGACGGAAACAGTTCGCTTAGAGATGGCAAAAAGCAATATCCAAACATCGATAATATCGATAGTCATCCGATGTTCTGTCAGCATTAGTTCTTTTCGGCTCTGTTAGCTTAACTTAACAGTGGTGTCACTTCGAAATAGCATTAGCGTTGAAACGTTAAACGCTATACTAATATAAGGCCCATATTTAAATTTATTTTTATTTTTAAATTGGAAATTAGTTTACGTAAAATTTGTAGTATGGACTTTATCGACACAATACGTGTGATCCATCAACGCAACCATTGCTACTCATTAATACGTTTTTTAAAAATTCTTTTAAAAATACTTTAAAGGTTGCGCACACAAGAGCACATATCGATGAGGTTATTAATATATATTAGTTAATAATAATATAATAAGGACATTTAAATACAATTCCCTTTTTCATTGAACTAAAATCAACAAGTATTTGTTATTAAAATCCAATTTTGTTTAGCTATTTTTAAAATTAATTTATCGATCTTCTAGTCAAAACAAATGAAAAGTGGGCAACACTACACACGAGAAATAATTCTGTTAATTTACAGATCTGTTGATAAATTTTACTTTCTACAGAGTATTCTACCCCTTGCATCTGTAAATGAAAACTGTAAAACAACATAACAAAACATCCGTGGTGCGAAACAGACGTGGAGCTCCAAAGAAAAATTGCGGAAAGCGGGAAACGGCCGGAAAATTCACATTTGGCAATATAAAGTTTGGGATGTTAATCTAACCTTTAAGATTAATATAGAGAGTTTAAAGAACGCCAATCGTGTGCAATGAATGAATGCAATAATGTAGTGCCATAAAATTGGTCCACAACGTACATACATACATACATATCTCCACATAAACAAGTGTAAGTAAAGTGCAAAGTAATAAATCTAATTGATTGACGGCGAACAAAAAAAAGTGAAGTAATAATAACAATATCTGTGAAAGTTTGTGTTTATGCAAAAAACGAATAATTTGTGAATTATAAATAAACCAATACATATGAACCGCCGGCAAAAACAGAGAGCGCACTTATTGAATGACCCCACAAAGAGAGCGAGAGCGTAAGCCAACAGAGTTGCCAGGTGGTTTGTTTTGCGCGATATTAAAAAGCGGTACAATTTAAAAATATCATTTGGAAATTTAATACGTGTTTTGTTTTTGTCTCCAGCTTCAGTTAAGCGTGATATTAATAAATCAAATTGATAATTTGCAATATTTCTATTGCATTAATTGTGAAGTCTGCAGCACGTGCAGTTATATTTGGTGTTTTTTTTTGCCACAAAAAAAGTTTCGCCCTTGACACGCGCAGTCTCACCCGCGCCCACTGAGAGCGGTACGCTGGTAGTGGACCATTTCCTCTCACTCTCTGTTGTCCAAAAACATTGTTCTCCCAAAATGTTAATGAATTTATTCCAACAAGATGTTGTTTTTAATTTCGACTAAATTCTGTTTTCAAAATTAAGCTAAAAATTAATTAATCCCTTTGGTCATAAGCCTGTACATTTTGTTTGCTTAATTTTTTTAATATTGTGTACATTAACAGCGAGGGACTCGCAACAGTGAAAACGGGACATAACATTTCCAGAGTACCTAGAGAGAGCGCGCGAGAGAGCGCGTTAATAGAGAGCCGCTCAGAACCAGCGAAAAATCTATATAAGCACCCGCAATTTTCCTCTCTTTTCATTATATTTTCGTCCACCAAAGAAGAGTTCAAGAAAAAAGAATACAAGAAGCGAAAAGGAAAAACATCGATTTCGGATGAACCGCCGGGATAAATACCACAAAATCATGTTGGATTTATAGTGGAATATTGTTTTTGTGTTATTGTGCTGCGGTCGGTCGCTCGAATAAAAAACTACAGTTATTGTTCGCCGCTAAAACGGGTTGACAAGCAAACGAAAAAAAAAAACAATTTCTGGTCGCGCAATTGTGGTTTCAGAGGAATCTCTTTGTGTACTTTAATTAATTATTGGGTAATTGCCCAATTTGACACAGCAACCATGTGCAATTTCGTGTAAGTGTGAGTGTGCAAGCATGTGTGTAACAATAATAATAGTGGCCGCAAATTGGAAAAAACGCAATAAGCAAACAGCAATACAAATAAATAAGCAATGAAAAAACGCAGAGTAGAAGAGAAAAAATGAAAATGTGAAAATTTAAGCCGCAATAACAAAAGCAAAGCCAACAACAAATTATAAAGTTTCGGCAGTTTTTTCCAGATATTTTTCATTGATTTTTCGGCTGCCGCGCACACACCTCCAGCGAGGGAGCAAGAGAGGAGAGAGTGAGAGGGCGGGAGAGCGCGGCTTTTGTGTTCTGTTTTGTGTATGTTTTGGAAATGGAACGGTACAAACTCTCTCTCTCTCTCTCACGTTCTCGGTGGATTATCCTTTTTATATTTTGTTTATTTCTCTATTTTCCTGGCCACGTTTTGTGCTCACCATTCGTTTCGCTGCATTTCATTCTCGCGGCGTTTCAAATTGGCCACACACCAAGCTGAGAGCGAGAGCGACTGCGAGAGCAAGGCTGAGAGTGAGAGTAAGAGAGAGCCAGAGCAGCTGCCCTCTATGTAAATCGCCACCTCGCACTCGCACTCACATAACACCCCCCGCAGAATGTTTTCTGGCTCTGCCTCATGTCCCCCATTCGCATCTCTCAGCTCGTTATCCTTTGTCCGCTGCGCGTTGCCAACCAGCCGAAAAAAAAAAATTGCTGTTGTCATAATAAAGCAAGATATTGTGCAAAAAATAAACTGTAAAAAAGATGAATTATATGTTTAATTCAATTTAATTTAATACAATTTATGTTGGAACGTGGCTGAGGAAAATATTATGTCGCATTTCCATTTTATTAGTTAAAATAATTTGTGTTTGTGAGTTAAATGTGAAAAAAGCCTAAATAACGATAATAAAAGTGGACACTCTGTTTTAAAAAATTAGGGCAAATTAAATTAATTTAAACCCAAAAGAAAAGCTTAAAAAAATATGCATTTAAAATTTCAAAAATTACAAATAATCGGTTTTTTTTATAACTTCACAATTTCTTTAAAAATTAAAAAATCCCTTTAATCTCATACTTCGGACTTGCGGCTTAAACTTTTCCCGTACATAATCCCAACCTAATCCAGTGTCCTTTCTTTTACCTTTACAGTTGTTGAAGCAGACACAAAAGTGAAAAAGTGCAAAATATTGTGAAAAGCCAAGAAACCAAGTGAAAATATGCTCTGAGGAAGAAGCTTAAAAGAAAATAGCTGGACGCATCGCATCCATAGCATACTTACCGCATAATATTTGGCAACGTGAATAGATTTCGTTGGTTCAATCCGATATAACGGATTACTGTAATCGCCGCGTCGCGTTAATTCCGACTTCTTCGCCGCTCCGTTCCGCCCCGCCCCCGTTTATCCGTCTGTCCGCGCTCGTGTGTCTGTGCACTTCCGTTCGCGTACGTGTGTGTGTGTTTTTCTGTGTGCTATAAGTCTGTCTCTCTCTGTACATATGTACAATATTTGTCGTCGTCGTCGTACATCGTTGTTGTTGTTGTTGCTGTTATCTTGCATTCATCTGCGCCTAAAGTAAATATAAAAAATTTGTGTTCTTCGGTGTTGTCTCGTGTAAGTGTCTATAGTTTGTTTAAGTACGACAAGCGATCGGTGAGAATAAAAAAAGAGTCAAAAAATTATACCACAAATCAGCTGTGTGTGCATG